ATTTCTCCAGACTTTTGCCAACATTTATTTTCTGTTGTTTTGTTGATATCCATCTTAATGGATGTGGAGTTGTATCTCATGTTTTTATTTCCTTAATGACTATTGATATTGAGCATCTTTTTGTGTGCTATTGACCATTTGTAAATCACTTTGGAGAAACGTATATTTAAGACCTTTGCCATTTTTTAACTGAATTGTCTTTTGTTGTTGAGATGTAGGAGTTATTTATGTAATTTGGATATTAGTCCCTTACAGATATCTGTTTGGCAAATATTTTCTTCCATTCTGTGGATTGCTTTTTCACTCTTTTGACATTGTCCTTTGATGCACAAAAGTTTTTAACTTTGACATAGTCCAACTTATCCTTTTTTCTTCTTTTGTTGCTTGTGCTTTTTGTATCATGTCCAAGAAATCATTACCAAATCCAGTATCATGAAGCTTTTCCCCTATATTTTCTTCTAAAAATTTTATGGTTTTAGTTCTTGTCTTTAGGTCTTTGATCCATTTTGAGTTAATTTCTCTATACAGTATAAGGTAGGGGCCCAATTTCATTCTTTTTCATGTGGATATCCAGTTTTTCCAGCTCCATTTGTTGAAAAGACTATCCTTTCTCCGTTAATGATCTTGGCACCCTTGTTAAAATCAATCGATCATATATGTGAGAGTATATTTTTGGGCTCTCTATTCTGTTGCATTGGTTTATGTGTCTGTCCTTATGCCAGTACCAAACTTTTGATTACTGCAGCTTCATACTAAGTTCTGAAATCAGGAAGTGTTAGTCTTCCAATTTTGTTCTTCTTTTTCAAGATTGCTTTAGCTATTTGGGGGTCCCTTGAGATTCCACATGAATTTTAGAAGTGGCTGTTCTAGTTCTTCAGAAAATGCCATTGAAATTTTAGCAGGGATTGCACTGATTCTGTAAATAGCTTTGGGTAATATTGTCATCTTAACAATTTTAAGTCTTCCAATCCAGGCACATGGCATGTCTTTCCGTTTATTTATGTCTTCTTTAATTTCAGTATTTATTTTTACTTCTCCAGATGTTTACCCTTTCCAGGTCCCTTCATCTCTTCCTGCAGTTCTGTGCTTCTAAAGAATACCATAAATGGTATTACTTTCCTACAACTTGAGGAATTCCCTGTAGTAGTTCTTACAGAGAAGAACTTCTGTAAAAAATTCTTTGTTTTATTTGTCTGAAAATATCTTTATTTCACTTTTATTTTCAAAGAATATTATCACCATGCATAGAAATCAAGGTTACCATGTTTTTGAGGGGTTTTTTCCTCCTTAGCACCTTCAAGCTGAATTCCATTCTATTCTGGCTTCCATAGTTTCTCTTCAAAAGTCAAGAATCAAGTTTTACTCTTTCTATCCTGAAAGTAATGTGTCTTTTATTCTATGGCTTCTTTTAAATTGCCTTTTTGTCTTTGGTTTTTAGCAGTTTAACCGTGATATGCCTATGTGTCATTTTCCTGCTTGATCAAGTTGACAATAGAATAATCTAGCTGAGTCTACCCTTTGTCACCCTGGCATCCATACACTCCTCTTATAACCATATTTAACTTCCAAATAAAGTTAATGTTAAAATTATGCTTCCACCTAACATGATACAACTATCCCTCACATAGGCCAAAACCTGTTAACCCTCTTCCCAAAAGTAGCGTTATCCATCTTTGGATCATTTTTTATTCCGTTTCCTGCTTAGTCATACTCTACCTATGATATCTTGTAATTTAAATATTAGATGTAAAGTTAAGCGTTTAGATTTATTTCCTATTGCTGCTATAAAAATTACCACAAACTTAATAGCTTTAAATAACAAAAATTTATCATCTTACACTTCTGGAGACCAAAAGTCTGAAATGATCTCATAGAGCTAAAATCAAGGTGTCAGTAGGGCTGTGTTCTCCCTAGAGGCTTTAGGGAACAATTTATTTTCTTGCCTTTTCCAGCCTCTAGAGGCTGCCCACATTCCTTGGCTCATGGCCTTCTTCCAACTTCAAAGCCATTTCCAAGAGATAGCTATTGAGTCTGTCTCACATCGCATCACTCTGACACTGACTCTTCTGCCTCCCTCTTTCACTTATACGGATGCTTTTTCCACTTATACAGACCTCCTCCCCTTTTTTTTTGGTGTGTTAGTTCAGTGACATGAGGAACCCCAGATGGCCATGTGTTGGTATCTGCTTCCATTTTAATGGAACTATTGGTGTGTACCTTGGTGGAAGCATTTCCATGGGTGCTAAGACTTTTATATCCACAGAGCCCAAAGGTATAAGAACAGAAAGCAAAATTTTCACTAGTTTATCACTAGAGGTAATACTGGGAGGGAACCACTTCTATTTCCACCCCTTGATTCTCAGACTCATAAATGCTGGCTGTAGGAGAAATGACATCATATGTTGGTTGTTCAGAGTATATACTGTTACATGGAGGACATCATCCTAGTCTGAAAAGTCTTATCCCTGGAATTCTAACTGTAACTAAGTTCCCAAAATGCCATTCCACCGTTCTGTCAGGCCAGTTACTTTAGGTTGAAGGGGAACAAGGTAATATCAGTGAATTTCATGAGTATGGGCCCATCTATGTTCTACATTTGCTGTGAAGCAAGTTCTCTGATCATAAGCAATGCTATGCGGAATACTGTGACAGTGAATAAAGCATTTTGAAAGTGCAGAGATGGTGGTTTTGTGGAACCATCGTGCACAGAGGGGAAAGTCTCAATTCCAGTGAGAATAAAGTGTGGCCCGTGGAAGTGTTCCAACTAATAAGTGTGCCACAAGGAAGCTGGCTAATGCCCCCAAGGAATGATGCCATATCAGGGACTCAGTGTTGGTCCTACTTTGGCAAAGTAGGCATTCAGTAATGACAGTAGCCAGGTCTGGTGAGTAGAAACCCATGTTGCTGAACCCATGAAAAGCCTCCATTCCTGCTGCCCTGGTCACTTTGTTCATGAGCCCTTTGGGCAAGGAGAGCAGTGACTGGGGAAAAAGGCTGACTGACTACGAAGAACAAGTCATTTTGCCCACCTGATTATTAAGATTCCTCTCTGCTGAGATTGCTCTTTGGTGAGCATTCACATGAAACACAAATATCTTCATACTTGGTCCCCATTTGGAGGGGTCTGACCTCTTCCCTAGACCTTCTTGTCACCAATTTTCTAACCATGGTCTTTCCATATCCTTGATCATCTAGCCAAGACATCAGTCACTTCCCCTCTGTAGATTTGTACCTTTGGCCACCTTTCCTTCCAGGCACAATGCACAACCAGGTATGCTGCTCGAGATTCTGTCTCCAGGAAGGATTTCTCTTCATCCCTGTCCTTCAGGCCCACCCCTGAGTGAGGCCGTGGTATATATGGAACTTCCAATGGGTCCCACTTTTCACTTGACCTCCTGCAGCCTGCTAGGTCTTGAGTTTGACCAACAGAATGCGGATAAGTAATGCTGTGTGACTTCCAAGACAAAGCCTTAAGAAGCCTTGCAATTTCTACTTTCTCTCTCTCTTTGGTACTCTGAAATCTCCATGCTGTGAAGAAACTCAAACTGAAAGTCTGTGTGGAGAGAAGCCCACCCATCCCCGATGTTCCAACAAACCAAGCTGAAGCCTGGATATGTGTGTGAGGCCGTAATAAATCACCCAGCTCCAGCGGATCTGGCAGCTGGCTACAGCCACTTATGTGAGTTGAAGCAAGACCAGCAGAAGTTCCCTGTCAACCGACAGGAAGTTGCTGTTGCTTTAAGCCACTAAGTTTTGGGGTGGTTTGTTATGCATCATTAGATAACTGATACAGTAATCTACATATTTAGAAGATATCATTCAGATTTTAAACCATCATAAATTTTTCTGCATATTCAGTTTGGGGTTTTACTTAGGGGAAATTTTATCTTCCTTTCAGAAAGAATATTATTTGTTTTGATGTGAACCGCACCATTTTCCACAGGCAATTGCAGTGGGGCTTCAAATTATCACACTGGTGCTATGGATTACTTTGGTTTGGATTTATTTGATTTAATTTAACATAAGCAAACTGGAGGCAGGGGAGAAGTTCACCAAGGGTTCTTAAGGGTTTTTTAAGGGAATAGGATATGAGGAGAGGGTTATGAATGAAATCGTTTTCCAAGATAGAAGAATTGTTTGGAGTTGTTTGACTAAATTTGTGCTAACATGACAAGTAGATAGAGTTTGTAAATCAGTGGAATTACTACAGGAACGAGGATGATTCTGTATTGATAATAATAGATAATATTTATGGAGTGATTTCTGGTGCCAGAAGTTGTTCTGGGTACTTTACAAATATTAACTTATTTATTCCTCACCACAGCTGTATGAGATAGCTACTATCATTCCCATTTTTCAGATGAGAAACTGAGCAGAGAGGTTAAGCAACTTGTCAAAGGTCACCCAGCTAGTAAGTACTAACAGTGGAACCCAGATATTATGCCATACTCAGTGTTCTTAACTACTGTATTTTGTCTTTCTCCTAGATTACTCTGGAGTATACAGAAGTGACCCAACCAAAGTTCTGGATAGTTTATTTATAGCTGCTAGTGATACAATTACAAATTTAAGGGTAAAACTCTTGTGAGAATAATACCAGTATTGCCTGGCTAGTCAGAGCAAACCCTGAGTGGATAATATTTCTTTCTTTCTTTCTTTCTTTTTCTTCTTCTTCTCCTCAAAGCCCGCCAGTACGTAGTTGTATATTCTAGATGTAGGTCCTTCTGGCTGTGCCATATGGGACGCCACGTCAGCATGGCTTGATGAGCTGTGCCATGTCTGTGCCCAGGATCCGAACTGGTAAAACCCTGGGCTGCCGAAGTGGAGAGCGTGAATTAACCACTCGGCACGGGGCTGGCCCAGATAATATTTCTAAAATCTAGTTTACATATATAAAATCTATTTTATGGTTTTTACTCATTTTGCCCTAATTAGAAAAAAAGCTAATTAGAGGTAGAAAATCCAGTTTTGACCACAAAATCTTATGTTTGAACTTTTAGAATGTTGCTGTATTCCAACACTTTAAAAGTCTGATTAATATAAGAAGACAAGGGGAGCCACGTCACATAATGAGATACATTAATCCTAAAGAGGTAAGGACATTATTTATTGATACAGCATCTTTTCTCCCCCCTTAAAAATGTATGGCTACTTTATAAATTCAATGTGCTTGTATTTGTTTCTTTTTTAAAACTTTTTAATTGAAGATTACATCCATGTAGAAAAGTTCATAAAACATAGATGGATAGCTCAGTGAATCATCATAAGCAAACGCCTGTGTAACCATCAACCAGATCAATGTTTTCATACTTCAGTCCGCTGCCTTCAGGTGTTCTTCAAATCACTGCCAACTCCCTTCTTTGAAAAAGTAACCATTATTTTGAATACTAGCATTGTACTTCAGTTTTCTGTTTTTAAACTATATATAAACAGAATCCTATAGGACTCTTTTGTATCTGGCTTTGTTCATTCAACATTATGTTTGTGTAGCTAAATTTCATTCATTTTATTAAAAATTATGACTATTCCATTTTATGAATATACTGCTGTTTATTCATTCTACAGTTAATTGACATTTGGATTTTTTCCAGTTTGAGACTATTATAAAGACTATTTCTGAGAATATTCTTATTCGTGTCTCCTGGTACACATGTGCATGAATTTCTTTTGCTTTCAGCTCCATCTAGAAATGGAAATGCTGGGTGACAGGATATTTTCCATTACTGTACTAATTTACTTCACCATCAGCAATCTTTCAGAATTCCTTGTGCTCTGCATCCTTATCAACACAATATTGTCAGTTTTTTAATTTGCATTTCCCTGATTACTAATAAAATTGAGCATCTTTTTGAGAAGTTTGGGTCCTGGTTAAACTTCTCTGTGCTCTTTCAGGCCTGACCGCAGCCTTTACCTCACAGGCCTCACAGGGGAAATCTGCCCCTCCTTGCACCAGACTTGGCGCGCAGCCAATGTGCTACAGCCTCTGAAGGGTGTTACAGTGAAGGATTCAGGCCCCTGGCCAGTGCTGCCCTTTGGCAAATTTACATTTCCAGCCCCAGTGCTTTCATTCCTAGCTCTCTTTGTCTGAGGCCTTGGGCAGAGGTCTTCAGGCGCCTCTGCTGAGAGCTCTTTAGCAGGAAACCTTGAAGATGCTTTCCCTCCTCTGACTCAGTCTGCTTTGACCTTCCTCCCTCAGTTCCTCCCCATCCACCACCCAACACAAATACTCACCTCACGGTCCATAAAGCTGCCTGAGCCTTTTGTTCCAGACTCCCTCAGCAGTGAGAGGACACCCACGTCTGTGCTGATCCACCTCAATCTCCACCCGTGTGCAGTTTTGTGGCAGAAAATGGAACAGGTGGAGTTGTTGCTTCCTCCAGTCTTAACTTTAACTCTTGCTTATACCATCACAGTAGGTATTTAAAAGCTTTCTTTCCCTTTTTGCATGTTTCCCTGTTTGGTTACTCTGACTACTGACAGCTCAGCTCTCTCTGTCTCTCAGATCAGCTGAGCTCCTGACATTCTTTATTTAATGTCTTTTATGTGTATATTGTCTCTCTTATTCTTATTGGTTTTAAGCAGTTCCTTACATATTCTTTACAAAAGCCCTTTGTCAGTTATCTGTGTTAGACATACTGTTTTTTACTCTATGATTTGACTTGTCCCTCTTTTAATAGAGTCTTTTCATTGAACTTTTTATTATGAGAAACATCAAACATTTACAAAAGTAGGAAGAATAAAGTAATAAACCACCATGTACCCATCACCCAGCTTCAACAATTAGCAGTTCATGGTCAGTCATCTGCACCTCCACCTACTTTCCCCAACCCCTAGGTTAATATTTTGAAACAAGCCTGTCTTTTGATGAACAGAGTTCTTACTTTTAATATAGTCCAATTTATCAATCTTGTTCTGTATGGTTAGTGCTTTTTGATAAATTTTCCCAACCCTGAGATCATGAAAATATATTCTTACGTTATGTAAACTTTATTGATTTGCTTTTCATACTTAGATCTGCGATCCATCTGCGATTGATTTTTTGTGTATGGTGTAGCTAGCGGTCACTTTCATCTTCTTCCATATAGATATCCAAATGATTAAACACTATTAAAAAGGTGGTCCTTTCTCCATTGCTCTGCAGTGCCACTTTTATCATAAATCAAGTGACCATATATGTATGAATCTGTTTCTGAGTTCCCTATTCTGTTCCATTGGTCTATTTTTGTATTACTATAGCTTTATAACAAGTCTGTTACATAGCAGAGAACTCCCATCTTATAATTCTTTTTCAAGAAGACACTTCCAGGCTATTCTTGGATGCTTTGTATTTCCATGTAAATTTTAGAATTAACTTGTCAAGTTACACGCACACAAAATATCCACCATCATGGAAAATAGTGGAGTAGGGAGCTCTAAGAATAACTGTCAGAATCAACTTTATTGGAATTCTGGAATCTACTTTAAAAAAACTTAGGGCAACCAGGAGAGTGCTTAATGAGGAAAGAGGCTGCTAAATTTTGGTGAGGAAGCATTGCTGTCTTTTTGCTTACCCACCTAACATGCCCCCCTCCCCAGCTTGATGGCAGTTGTGAGGACAAAGGTGCACAGTCCTAGTGTGGCTTTCTGGGGCTGGAGATCAAATACAGGCCTTGTTCTCAAAGATTTGTGGCGATGTATTCTTGCATATCTGGCCCTTCCTTGAGGGCCCTGCGCAGAAGCTTGCCTTTGTCTCACTCCTCTGTGCAGTCCCGGAGCCGGCCGGCTCCCAGCCGCCTGAGGCAAGGGATGGCAGACAGGGCAAGGACGGGCAGACCCAGAAGCCTGGGAAGACGAAGATACATGGAGGTGTGTGAACAAATAAAGAATATATGTTAAGAAAGAAAACCAGATAGAAAGCAGATTAACAATTGCCAGGGAGTGGGGAAGGGGGAGAGGGAATGGGGAGTGACTGCTTAATGGATATGGGGTTTCCTTTTGGAGTGATGAAAATGTCCTGAAAAGATAGGCTATACAATGCTGTGAATTTACTAAATGCCACTAATGGCAAATTTATATGGTGTGTATTTTACCACAAGTTAAAAAAATCTATTGGGATTTTGATTGCGATTGTATTGAATATTTACATCAATTTGAGGAAAACTGACATCTTAACAATATTGAGACTTCCAATCCATGAACATTTGTGGGAAGCATGGAGATATGTTGCCCAGATTCCTCTTCACAAGTGGACTTACTTCCCAGTCGCAAGGAGTGCAGTCAGCAGACAGACTCCGGCTGTGAGCATCTTTGGTTTCTGCCCTGCTTGGGGAGAACTGCCTCACCCTAGGGCAGTCCACACCCAGTGACCAAGCAGTGAGTGTGGGGGTGGGAGAGGGGAGGGGGATACAAAGACCAGTCTGGGGTGGAACAACTCTGTTGGGCAGTATTCACTCTAGAGCTCCCTGCAAGATTGGCTCAGGCTTTGTGGGGCCTGCATTGTAGTTCAAACTCTTCTTTCCCCTTCCTTTCAGAGGTGTTGATCCCTAATAAACATGTGGCACCTGAACTTCACATCACCCCTTCTTTAGAAACCCCACCCTGCAACATTATTTAGCTCTTCTGTAATTTCTCCCAACAGTGCTTCATAGTTTCCTGTGCTTGCACATCTTTTGTTAGATTTATACCTACTTTTCGTGCTTCTATACATGGTAATTAGAAAAATTTTATTTTCCAATTTTTGTTGCTAGCGTAGAGGAAGATAATCAATTTTTGTTTATTAGCTTTGTTCCCAGAAACTTTGCTATCCTTATTTATTAATTCTAATAATTTGTACATAGATTCTTCTGGATTTTCTACATAAACAAGCATGCCATCCTCAAATAATGAGTTTTATTTTTTCCTTTCCAAGCACTATACATTTTCTTTCTTTTTCTTGCCCTTCTGCACTAACTAGAGCCTTCAGTAAATTGGTGAATAGAAGTGTAACCACTGTCTCATTCCTGCTTTCAAAGGGAAAGGGCTCAATAGTTCATCAAGTAGGAGGTGTGCTGTGGGTGTCATACTAGAAAACTTTTATCTAAGAAAGTTCCCTTCTCTTCTTATGGAGCTAAGAGTTTTGTTTTTTCCTTTCAGTCCAAGAATGGAGATTAAATTTTATGAAACATTTTCCTACTTTGAGATAATTATTTTTCTTTTATCTGACTGTTAAACCTACTTAGCATTCCTGGAATACACACATTTTACTCATAATGTCTTATCCTTTTTAAATATCACTAAATTTAGTTTGCTAATATTTTGCTTAAATTTTTGCACTTTGTTCATGCAGAACATGTACATTCTCATACTATCTCTATTAGATTTAGCTGGCATCCTAAAACAGGTTGGGAAATGTTCCTTCTCTGTTTCTTTTCTTTTTTTTTTTTAAACATTGAATGTTATTCCTTCCTTAGATGTTTGGAAGGATTTGCCAGTGAAGCCATCTGTACCAGAGGTTTTCTTTGTGGGAAGACTTTAAATTATAAATTCAGTTTATAGTTATAGGTCTATTCATATTTTGTACTTTTTCTTGTGCTAGTTTTGATTAGTTGTATTTTCCTAGGAAGTTGTGCATTTCATCTAAATTTTCAAGTTTATTTGCATAAAATGATTCATAATATCCTCTTATGATTCTTCTAATGTCTTAGAATCTGTAATAGTTTCTCTTTATTTCATTCTTGATATTGGTTATTTCTGTCTTCTGTTTCTTATTTCTTATTTTTTATTGAAATATATTTGACATACAACATTGTGTAAATTTAAGGTGTACAACATGTTAATTTGATACATTTACATATTGTAATATGATTGCCATTGTAGCAATAATTAGCACCTCTATTACGTTATATAATTCTTTCTTTTTAGTGGTTGAAATAATTAAGTTCTAGTCTCTGTTGATGCAAATAATCCATAACCAATGTATAAATCAAAATTTGGGCGAGTTTATTATGAGCCTGTCCTGAGGACCATATAGCCCCGGAGAGTCCTTTCACAAAGGAAGGGAGCACTCCAAAGAAGTGGGGGTGTACAGAGTGGTTATATATTGTCAAAGAGCATGTATCACACATGATTGGAATGT